AGTTGTACAACTCATGTACAATGAGATATATGCAGCCATATATCAATCATTGTTTATACGCACTGCACTCGTTTATAACCGTTGATCAAATTTAGTCGTACGTGGACAATTGAGTTGTATGCATAGTAATTTTCTTATGGTTATAGTATATGGAGAGAAATTTCTCCCTTTTATGGCGGCAGTATATTCTTACCAGTAAATTGTAAGTTACAAAGTTTCCTAATTAATACTATTACTAGTAATCAGTTTTCTCTGATTTACAACGAAATAGGCGTGAGACTATTTTTGGGTTAATGAAAGGCGAGTTTTGTCGCCTACTACTAAAACCGAACCGCCTTCGTCAATTAATTGGCGATTCCTTTCCTGAGAGGCCCCCGTTAAGCTTTGAATCTCCTTTGCTTTGGTATCTTGGCCGAGAAGCAAATCACTGCCTAGCTAAGCTATGCTGGTTATACTATGCGCAAAGGCATTTCTTTTCTAGTTTTCTAATGCTGTTTTTCAGGATCCCATTACATTAGTGTAGGAATTAGGAAAGGTATGCCTTGTGAGTGTTTTGTGCCCCGTCGCTCCACTAACAAAGATTCTTCATTTCATCACATGGTAGTTAATTAATCTGCTAATCACTACTAGACAGGATATGTTTAGCACATACTCCGTAGGTGAAGATTCTAAACGTCTCTCTTGCACTAGCTTTGCTGGTTTTGTACATTTTTAACTGAAAACTCGCTTTTGCTACTTATATTACATTATTTTGTGCCGCCCACCTCTGAATATTTTTTCTCTTGTCCTAGATATGCATAACATTAATTCTTAAATCTTAAATTACATTAGTTAGTTAGTTTAGTTAGTGCCTTTTTGCCAATGAAAATGTTGAATTTATCAACAATTATTACGTGGAACCCACTAATCTCAGCTGCTGGAAAGGAAGCAGATAATAAAACATATATTATCCAAGCAACACTTCACAGTGCAGAGTCTTCCGACTTGAAGAAACTTTTTGCGCTCCTTAATTACTTAATTAACAGGAGAATCGAATTATTCTGCGACTAATAAACGGTACTATTTAGTCTCCATCATGGATAGACATGATCATAATTTACTCGAAATTATGATTGATTCACTACTGACTTACTGTACACCCAGCATGAGTCTTGTCTTCAGGACTTCAGGTGAACAGAGGTCGCCTGAAAGTTAAAGATTGAGCATTCATGCATGCTGTCCTACCATTTCTGGATATGAACATAATGAGATTCTTGATTACAACAGTTAAGCTGAACTGCATATTTTTTTCCCCTGAGGTAATGTAATCTGTTAAAGATAAGTTAAAGACATTGCAGACTTGCAGTCATGATAAGATGATGCATATATCATGCATCAGTCTCACCTCCAGCTCAGCAGCTAGTATACTAGCTTAGTTAGTGCCACTTAAAGATCCAATGCTGATGCCCTGCCTGATCATACAACAACAGAGGTGTATAAAACAAATAAACCGTGTCAAAAAAGTTCACAGAGAGGTTTCATACTAGCTAGGACGACTTGGAATTCAGAAATTAATCAAGTTGTGTCAGATCATTGCTAACAATGCTACTACTCTATAGCATTTGATTTAACAATACCTGGATAATTAAGATCAACAGGAAGGGATGAAAAGCAGTGGGAGGGTTTGCTAGGGATTAAAAGAAGCCAACCTTAGTGCGGCTTTGCTGATGCAGCTCTGATGGTGCAAGATGCCTGGTCATGCAGCCAGGGATGCTCAAGTCAAGCAGTTCATAACTAGCAGGCCCCTACATCTGCTTATAAAAGCAATCCTGGTCTTCAGGTGGGCACCCACCAGGCCACCAGCGTTCATATCTAAGAACGGTCAGGTTAATTAGAGAGATCACTTGAGCCATCTGTCCTTAAACCATTTCTGCCTTGACAAATGCAGCTAATGCTCTAGTCCTCGATGTTGTTAATTAAACTAATCAAAAGCTAATGACTCATGATCAGTGGGTCATGCATTCACTTCCACAAAGGCTACACTTGTTTCTTTCTGCATACCTGAAGATGATCCATTCAAGCTTGATCAAGCTGTTCTGTTGGCTACAGTATTCAGCATACAACAGTACATGAGCTACTAATTACCGAAAGGCTAGCTTTCAGTTAGCTTGAAATTAACCTAGTTAGTCATAAACCAGCTAACCTGAATTCATGAAGTTTTTTTCCCCTATTTGAACCTCCTTGTGAAGTTAAGCACTAGCATTTGGTCAAGGGTAAGCAAGCAGTTGAGGTCCAACTCCCTATCCTGACAGTGACAAAGTAGTGATAAGATGGAGATTGTTTTGACTGAACCACTCAGGCTTTTGCTCAGATTTGGTGTTTGGTGAGCAATGCCAACTGACAAGTACATTTGTCCCCATGTGGAGCATGGCTGCTCATGTTGTGAGCCAATGACGATGGAAAAATGTGCTCTTTAAAGTGCAAGTGCAAGATAGCTATGAGGAAAGTGACTATACAAAGCTGGGTCATGCAGCAGTCAATTTAGCTTGATGTCATCAAAGAATGGCCTTAATGATCTACCTTTTCTTTTTTTTTTGAGAAGTGTATTTTTTACCCGGCCTTTACATCCAACCAGATATATGCAGCCTTTTTAAATTAGAAAATTAGCCTATCAAATAGGAAGCTTAGCCATCAAATAACCCAATCTAAAATTCGTTCCTATAGAGATTTGAATTCAGGACCAAGGTGCTACTCAGGACGAGTTTAGTTCCAAATTTTTTCTTCAAACTTCCAACTTTTCCATCACATCAAAACTTTCCTACACACATAAACTTCCAACTTTTCTATCATATCGTTTCAATTTCAACCAAATTTTCAATTTTGACGTGAACTAAACACACCCTCAGATCACAGCAACCACTAGGCTAGATGCCATTTCACAATCTACCTTTTCTTGTCTAAGACTAGCCTCCATTTAGTAAATACTCCGTCCGTTTTAAAATATAATAACTAATATAGTTCAAAATTTATCCAAATATAACAACATAGTGCATATATATAAAAGGTCATTTTTACTATTAAACTACTCATACCACATCTCTGCTTTATTATTATCCCAACTAGTCCAGACCTACATGGCATCCACCCCGAAAGACAAATAAGTCATTTTATCCATCTCGTTAATAGCCATGCGAAAGGCTAAAACTTGCTATATTTTGGGATATAAATAGTAGTTAAGTATTTTATATTTATTATACTAACTGATAAACTCTAAGTGTATGCTCAAAATTCATTGGAAAGTTGGACTTACAAAACATCATTATGGGAAAGCATCATTGGTGTGCTAGAGTGGTGAGTGCACAAGTCCGTTCACTAAAGTTTAAATCCCAGTATCCACAAATATGGTCGTGTACACCCTTAGTTTGGTGTAGAAGCCGGAAGTTTTTTTTTTTTTTTTGAAAAAGAAAACGTCACTGGCAGAGAGTTCTGTGAATTATGATACCGCGCCAAATTCAAACCAGTCAAACGGTAGTTTTTCAAAAATATGGACCAGCCTGAGAATAGGGAGGAAATCTAGTAATGCAAACTTGGAAGTTCTCATTGTTATAGTTTTTCAGAACTATGGACCAGCCTGAGAATTTGCGGTGTTGTGTTATTTTTGTGGCTAGGAAGGCTGTCGGCAGGAGAACAAGTTGCAACATTGAGATCGTAATGAACATGACTTGCAGTACTTTATACTACGCGTCGATGTAAAGCTGTTTGAAATTAAGGAGATATACTGCTGCACCATATCACCTGTACAGATACATTGTCTGCATATATTTTTTTCATGTCTAATCGACTTAACAATACAGCAGAATACTACAGCTACTGGTTTCAGAATCCGTCTGACTAGAATTCACATGTGCTTTCGTCCATCGTCCTAATGACTCTGAACACTTTGTTTAATTATGATTTTCTCTTCAAATCGAAGATTTTTTTAAAAAACCATGTATTATCAAGGGCAAGATGTAATCAAGAGACTCTACCAACCTCTGTTGTCAGATGTAGATTCAGTGCAACTGTGCAAGTGAACATCGCAACAGGAGCAGAAAGTCAGGAACTAATTCCTGATGATTAGGTCGGTTGGGCACTCACAACTTGATACCATTTCAGATACTACTTCAGTGCAGAAAAAAATATCTAGTCAAGTGATAGAGCTTATTCAGAAGCAGGCGTGTATCATGTACTAGGACAGTAGGAGAGGTCAATTCATAACAATTTCAGAATAACCATAGGTCAAGAAGAATCGTCGCCACTGGAATTCCCTGTCAGTACTGACTATGCATAGGAATTCACAATCGGTACACATGACGTACGTGTTCGATGTACTGGAAACTGAATTCGTAATTAGTTTCAGCGGGAAATCAATCAGCGGAAATGTTTAGTATGAAGGCGAGCTGTAAAAACATAGTAAATTCGGCCACGAAACTTATCTGAACACCCGTAAAAGAAGATATTATCCGAAGAAAATCAAATCAGTGAACTAAACCGAACGGCTAAGCACGGATCAAGGGTGACGCAGACAAGAATTCATAGACAAAACAAAGCGCATATGAAACAAAATTTCACTTTTGGGAGAGGCTGCTTGCTAGCTGCATGTACGTACTTCCCCCCTTCCCTGAATGGTAAGACAGTATGATTCTTCAGAGAAGAAGAAGAATATATCACCATGCATTACATATGTCAGTGTTGCCATTATCCAAAAGCGATGTCATTAATCATGCCCAGATATCTGATCAATCAGTGGATTAGGCGCTGCCCTAATCACAGAGGCAACCTGACACGTCGGTTTGGACAGGAGCTAATCAGAGAGAATGGAAGATGCAGTAGTAAAGCTCGAGTAGTGTGTGAATGTCTTTTGCGGCTACTTGGAGTTGCAACTACCGTGGTAGAGTAGAGGACGCTTCGAATTGCTTCGCTCGTACGAACATCATCGCCGCCTTACCTTAGCTTTTTCTCCTCTCAACCCCTCTATATAAACTCCCCTACCGTGTCACCTTCCCAACTCCCCCAATTCACAAAACGAAACCCAAACACTCTCCTATTCCTCCTCTTATTTCTTAATTGGTCAGCACCTAGCTAGCAAGAATCTCTCAACTCTTCTTCTTGTTCTTCTTCTCGTCCATAATTGCTCCTCCAATTGATATCTCTGTACGTAGTTCAGTTCAAGTTCATCAAGGAGCCTGAACTGAATTCCTTGGTTGTTTAGTTCTTGCTAGCTAGGGGATTGACCATAGGATAATGATCTTGAACTCCGGAGGCAGCTTCATCAACACCTGTCCGCTGGATTCCGAGCAGCTCAAGACCTTCTACTTCTGGATCTTCCCAATCTTCAATAGATACTGCCTCTGCCGCCTCTAATTGACAAGCATTCAACCATATATATGTGATAAATTGTGCCAATCTGCCTCAAGTATTAGCATTTAGGCAAATTGACACTACATCTAGCTAGCTAGCTAGCTTTGCTCCGATTAGTAGTATTGTTTGCCTCTTCTTTCCATTGTTAACCTTCGATTGAACAATTAGGTTTGCGCTTGCTTGCCCAAGATATTTGAATAGGTTTTGCAAGTGTACATTTGTCTGAAATTCAGTCGGTTGATTTGATCATGGGTACCATGACTCTGCCCCCGGGTTTCCGGTTCCACCCGACCGACGATGAATTGGTCGGCTACTACCTCAAGAGGAAAGTCGACAGCCTCAAGATCGAGCTTGAGGTCATCCCTGTCATTGATCTCTACAAGTTCGAGCCATGGGAGCTACCAGGTTTGTGCCTTTGTCAATTTTTCCATTTGATTCATGTTACTTCATTTTTGGTAGTTGAAATTCTGCATCAAATATATTTAGCACAAGTTGTTGTTTCATAGTTGAGTTTTGGTCGTGTCAACATTGTTAACTTTTGGTGAAAACAGTTTTAACTGTGGAAAGTAGCTAAACAATATGCAAAGCCTTTGACCTGCTAGCCTTTTTTTTTTCGCAAATCTATTCCTGAAAAGAGAGAAACAGGTGGTAGAAAATTGGAAAGGAACATGCAGAATTTTTCCCAGAGGCGTTTCTCATTTTCTAGACAGATAAAAGCGACCTTTTTACACGGGCATCTGGGCTTTTTCCTCCCTAGGCCGGTTGCTGATAAGTCTTTTTAATCACACACCTTTTAATTTTAGTATTCAAGAATGAATTCCTCCTGCAACCGCAAAGCCAAACTTTTCGGATATTCTCTTGCAATTTGGTTTCGCCTTGGTGACATAAAATGATAATAAATATGATCAAATCAAATTCTGAAGAAGAAAATGATTATGAAAATGTGCAGAGAAGTCGTTCTTGCCGAAGCGTGACCTGGAGTGGTTCTTCTTCTGCCCACGAGACCGGAAGTATCCGAACGGGTCGCGGACGAACAGGGCGACGAGCACCGGGTACTGGAAGGCCACCGGCAAGGATCGCAAGATCGCCTGCGCCGGCGAGGTCTTCGGCCTCCGCAAGACGCTCGTCTTCTACAAGGGTCGCGCTCCCGGCGGCGAGCGCACCGACTGGGTCATGCACGAGTACCGCCTCTGCCAGGACCTCGCCCATGGCGTCTCCAACTTCATCGTGAGTTCATTTCTCCGGATTGCCTTTGCTTTGCTTGCTGCGACGGCAACAATGGCGCGCTGATCGGATGAGATGTGTTCTGGTGCAGGGGGCGTACGCGCTGTGCCGCGTGATCAAGAGGCACGAGGCGGGCCTCCATGGCGAGCCGCCGGCGGCGAAGGCGAAAGGAATGATCAGCAAGGTGTCGAGCAGCTCGTCCCTTGTCACCGTCGAACACCAGCTCAGCAGCCGGGGCAACGCCTCGCCGTCGTTCACGCCCACCAACAATGGCAGCCCGCTCGTCGACGAGATGTTCGTCGGCGGCGGCGGCGGCGACCCGTTCCAGCTGCTTCCGAGCTGCGTCCCGTACCATGGCGGCGACGCGTGCGGGTTCGACTTGCCGCCGCTGTGCATGCCTCAGACTCAGGACCCGTTCTTCTCCGACGCCGGCTTCACGCAGGCAGCGCCTCCTCTCTACGGCGACGTCATGGGAAGCGTGTCGGAGCACGAGCTCAAGTGGGACACCCTGGGCGGCTACTCCGGCGGCGGCGGTGGGGAGCTCTGGAACGCGGCGGCGGCGCCGCTGCTGTGCAGGCAGGCCAGCGACGGCGACGACCTCACGGCGTGGTTCACGGCCGCCGACGACAACATGTCCGTCTTCTGAACGAGTCAACCATGACACGTGTGCTCCCGGGTTAGTTACACATGGCGGTATATTTTTGAGCCATTCCTAACTGGGGCCCCACGTGTCAGCCACTACAGACATATGTCATCTATTATATATGCATAAATATGCCTATAATCTGTATGGATACAGAGGTGATGAGCTTTCTTTTAGTTACTGGCTGTAATACATCTTCTCTGTAGCATCATACAGCAGAGCTGGGTTATGTATCCTCTTCAGTTAATGTACTTGTAACACTGATCTGTAAGCTAAAAGGTAGTGTTGCTGGTAGATCAATCTTCATCTCAAACAGTGCAGTTTCAATTCATACAATATATATATTATAAAAGTTCCAATTCATAGTATGTCTATAAGCTCTTGCCTTTGTTTTCTGTTTTCTGTGTGCTTAGCCTGACATTAGTCAGATATTACATTTACTCTTTGGTACAGTGTGGATACGGTGAGGCTGAAGATATTCCAATTTACAGCCTGAAATGGATTACAGATTTACAGTGTAGTAGGGGGAAGTTAAATTGGAATATCTTCAGCCTGAACGTATCCACTCTGTACAGGTCACAGATGCATGACAGTTTTCTTTTTGACTTGATAGCAGCTAGTAGCAGGTTTAACCAAAAGTAACAGCAACGAAAGGACAATGATTACAGTAGTAGCAGTAAGAAATTGTGATGATATTGATACGTGAGGTTAGGAACATCGCAGCAGCAAGGAGTGAAGCAGTGCCTTGCCGAGGCGCCACGAAAGATGAAAAGGGGAGACCATTGTTAATGTTAACATGAAGGAAGAGCATTGATAAGATGCCATTGCTACTGCCGCAACACAAAAATGGCCACCGTCATTCCAAGAATAGAATCGGATCTCTTGAATCTTTGATTTGTATGGCCAGACAAACAAACATTAGAGGAGAGGACGGCGCTGCCTTTTCGAATTTTCCTCTTAACTTTTCTCGTTCCGTATAAAATCTGTCCTCTGCAAGTCAAAATCAGGTCACAATTTGCATCACAGAATGCTTAAGATTCTGAGAACAACTGATGATGAGCAATACAGCTGATACTAGTACGTGATGATTCCCGACCCATAAAGCCCATCTAGCACGTGATGAGTCCCGGCCCATAAAGCCCATTCAATAATGTATTTCGTCTTCGTCTTTCGGCCTTTTGTACCTTGTTGTCTCTAGGAATAAGTCCACTTTGACTCCCTTAAAAGTGACCCGAATTTAATTCTCGACCCTTGACCCGTTGAAACCGGTGCAATTTGACTCCTTGGTGGTTTTGGAGGGTAGTTTCGCTGACGTGGCGCTGACGTAGCAATGTTGACCTAGTATGTGGGTTGACGTGGCGCTTAAGTGGCATTAGAATTAAAAACGTATACGTGGGACCAGGGGCGGGCCCAGTGTATATTCAAGGGTATTCAGATGTATACCCAAGATTTTTGGACAAAAAATAGGTATATATACTCTATAGTTCGTATATGTATTTAAAAAATTAAAAAAGAAACCTTAAACTGCTCATATTGGACCTTATTTCACCATTTCTTCTCTATTGGGCCAAAACTTCCCACTCCCCTCCCCCTTTCCTCTCAGCCCGCGGTCTAATTGGGCCGTTGTCAACCTTGCATCTCAGCCCATTTCGACATATCCCCAATTCCCCTCCCATCTAACCCTAATTCGCCTCCCCATCCATCCCGACAGTTGCGCAGGCGTGCGGCTGGCGGCGCGCCGCCGAGCAGGCGGGGCTTGTGGCGCCGGCCCGGCCGCGCGACTCGTGCCCTCGTGCTCGTGGTCGTGGGATGTGGGGCGCCGCGCCGGGCGCAGGGCGGTAGGCGGCTGCGCCACTGAGGGCTGCCGGCACCTGGCCTGGCCGGCTGACCGGCTCAGCCGCGCAGGGCAGGACCGCAGAAGCAGGAGCAGGACAGCAACAGCAAGCCGCGCAGGACAGGAGCAGCACAACAGTGACAACACAGTGAGTGACTAAATCTGTACATGCACAAAATTTGAATAAATGTAGTGAAGATTTTAGGATTGGGAGCTGCAATTCACTGATTTAGTGAGTACACAAATTTGAATAAATGTAGTGAAAATTTTAGGATTGGGAGCTGCAATTCACTGATTTAGTGAGAATGTACTTGCTTGCTTAGTTTGTAGTGGTCTAGTGGACACTGGACGGTAGTTCATAGTTCATACCATATTATCAAATTTGTTTAATTTTCAGAACTGAAACATGAAGAAGAAGGGCCAGCTGTTGATTTAAACTCTTTTTTGGAGAAACAAGATGGGGCTTCATTAAAAAAATTTCAATTTGCAAGCTAAGGACAAGGACATCATCGATTATTTTCAAAATATCAAGCGTCGAAAAGTTAATCTCTAAATTGTAAGATTTCTTCCTAATTTATCATTTTCTTTCATTTTTGTATTTCATATGTTATTATGTTGGCACTTTGATATGTTTAGGCTTTTAGGTGTATGAACAATTTTTTTTACCCCTTCTCATTTCGAATACACAAGTTCAAAAACCTGGGCCCGCCACTGCGTGGGACCCGTTTGTCATTCACACATATTGAAAATTGTAGGGCCCACTGACATGTGTGCCCCACATGTCATCCCCTCCCTCTCTCTTTCTTCTTCCTCCCCTCTTTCTTTCTCTTTCTCTTCTCTCCCCTTACGGCCGGCCGCGGGGGAAATAGGCTACAGCGGCGGTGGGTGGGGGACAGAGCGGCGGCGGCGGATTGCAATGTGGAGGAGGAGTCGGCTACGTACTGGGCGAACAGCGTGACCACGGGAGTAGTAGTAGGAGTGGGCGCCGCTTTTCGCCTCCTGACCCGGAGTTGGGGTCGTGGAGGGTTCCGGCCATGGGGGGCCGAGACGGCAGCCTCCTAGGGCATGAAATGCGGCGAGTGTAGGCGAAGGACTCCGCGGTTGCCGGAATCGCGCGGAGGCGGAGGCGCTACGCCGCTCCGGAGAAGGAGTCGCCGGCGGTCCAGTCCATGCAGCTTCAGACCGTGTATCAGTGCATCATGATTGTGTTGGTTGTTGGGGAGATTATCTGCCCTGCTAATTGGCAATTAGTGGAGGCATTCGAGAAGTTGTCCTATAAAATTTTCGTCCATGTCAGTCAGTAACTCATGAGGGTAAATGGGTAATCATCATCAAATGAAATCAGTAGAGTAGATAGATGAAGGGAAGTCTGGCCGAGCACGCCATGGACGTCGTCGGTGAGCGCCTCGAACTTGAAGCCGAGGTCGAGGTGGACGAGGCAGTCGTCGTCGGTGACGCCGTAGTTGTGGACGCGCGACGGCGCGACTCCTCCCTCATGATGGGCACCGCGCTGGCCACGATGCGGAACACGCCCCTGAGCTCCACAACCACATGCCGTTGGCCTGCGCGGTACGCGCCACGGACAGCGCTGGGGCGTTGGGCGGTGACCAGCGCGCGCCGTCATGGCGAGGCAGGTCGACGCGGTCGTCGTGGAAGGTGAGCTCGCCGCCGCCGCTCTGCCCCCGCCCGCCACCACTGCAGCCTGTCCTGTGACCCCCGCGGCCGGCCGAAGGGGCGAGAAGAGAAAGAGAAAGAAAGGGAATCAGATCGTCTGACTTCACCTGGAATGATGGTAGAGAGCAGTCACGCGAATCCCATCGTCCACCCGCAATCGAACGATGGATCTAACGCTACTCCTCTCAGACACTGGGCCTCAGCGGCTCGGCCCAACAAGTGCTTCTATGGATAAGGAAAGGGTTCACTGCCACCACGTCATCCGGACTTGCAGTCGAGGATGGAGGACCGTCCCGTCGCCGTCGTCACCTAGAGCGGCGCCGTCCTCGCCGAGAGCAGCGCCGCGCCATCCCGCCGAGCGCTGCTCCGTCGCCGTCCTCGCCGAGCGCTACTCCGTCGCCGAGTCGTAGGTGCCGAGCCAGACGCGCACCCGGTTCTGCGGCAGCCGGATCTACGCCACCCACTTGCCCCACTGCGGCTGCCCCGCACGCCGCGGTACAGCTTCTGCTGCAGCAGCATGGCCTCGTCAGGCAGCGCAACAATTGTAGCATGTCTCAGAATGGATAGGACCCGCTGGAGGGTTGCCACAGCCGTGATTCCAATTAAGCTAGAAGATGTCTGTACGATAGCAGGGATTGGAGTCGACATATCTGAAAATGATGTCTGTAGGATAGCAGTGATTGGAGTCGATATATCTGAAATTTCCAGTGTGTTTTATTCATCGTGTGCTATGTCTGAAATTTTCAGTGAGTAACAGAGGAAGGTTGTCTTGCTTGTGAAGTGACATTTGTGCTAGAGCTAGCAAGACTGTAACTTGTGATTGTCATTGTGTTGTAAATTGTTTGGAATTGAATAAAAGGTAATTCTGAATGTTGCAAGTTCAGAGATGCACAAAATGCTCTGCTATTCAGAAATGCAATTCTGCAATTCCCTGAACTTTACACTTCGACAAAAGCAAAAGCTATCCCCCTAAACAATCTGTTATATTTCAGATTGCAGCAACTGTCCATGCTACTAGAAATCAGCCAAAACATCATCTGTAATTGGCCCCTGTAAAATAAAAGGTTCAGAAAAACAATTGAGAGAATGTATTGATGGCCATCTATGGTATAGAAAAATGGTGTGTTAGTTTGAAATATTACCGTCAATATCTGAGAGAAGGTATTGATGGCCATGTATGGTTCAGACAATTCTTCCATGGGCAAAGAAGTATTAGGATAAATATTTTGCACCGCTGCACTGTCTTGTACCGTTGCTTCTTTTTCCTTTTTTTTCCCTCCCTTCTTTATAGTTCCTTGTTCCTTCAAATAAAAGAAAAATAAACTGAACATGTTCCCACTGAGCACAGTAAAAGAGAATCAAATACATTTTATGTAATCACATACCTTTGATCCTTTTTCCTTTTTCTTACCTCCCTTCTTACTTCCTTTCTCTGTGGACTTGTGCATCTTATCAAGCCAATTTCTTTTCCGCTTTGAGCTTTTTGTTTGCACCTCCTTTTTCTTTAGGCATGCTGTACTCACCAAATCAATTGGAGGAGTAACATTTGTGGGAGCAGTGACCGGAACCATAGTATCAGTGCATGCATTGATTTCTTCTTCAACTTACTTGCTAAGGATGTCCAGTGTGTTGTTTACTAATAAGGTAGACTCTAGATGGCTGGCAGCTCTAAGTGCCAAATTGAGAAATTTGCGGGTCATATCTTTGTAGCGAAGCATCTCATTTAATCTTGGGTTCTCTATTATATTTCGCCCATGGTTGTCTTGTACTGTCCCACTACGTGCTCCACGTGTCCATCTCTTCAGTACATATTGTGTTGGGAGAGATTTGATATTCATCAGATCAAGGACTTTTAAAGCATGGCTACACAAATATTCCAGTTCTACTGAACATCCTACAGCTGCATGTACTAGTTTGCTCTAAAGGATCACCAAAAACATTGTACTCCTTCTCAAAGGTACAATTTTCAAGACTGCCAATTGCCACAAGATAGCAATTTTTGCCTTCCAATGCCGTGCTACATGCTACCATGGATCTTTCATACTCACCTTGAAAAGCTTCGAATATAATTGGTGTGTACAGCTTGCTAGCTTGGATTAGCATAGGTGTCCTCATTTTGATTCTGGGTATTTTCTTCCTTTATTCAAATTCAGCATTTAGCTCATTTTTCCTCTTATCTTCCACCACCCTTTCAAAATGCTTAAGAAATCAAATGATATCAAAATCAGATTTGAAATGCCTCTTCAGTTCACTATTTAGACTCTCACTCAATTGTGTACTTCTCATACCTAATGCAAACACATCCTTCATGTAACATTCAGCCCATTTTTCTTTAACCCTGTATATACTATCCAACCAACTTTGCTTGCTCGCTTTTGCCCTTATGGTGTTAAATGCTTGTTCAAATGTTTCCTCATCTTCGTACTCAAACATGCATGCACTAAAATCTGCGAGAATACTTGGTTCTTTCTCATTGTCTTCAACTATCTGTTCGGGAGAAGTACTGGATTCCTCTTTATTGTCGACTTCAGCTAGATGCTTGGCAGCATTCTGCATAATATGGAAAGTGCACAGACCATGCCATACTTCTGAAAATACTTCCTTAACTGCTTTTCCCATTGCAAAATCTTGATCAGTATAGATTGTTTTAGGTTGCTTGCCATTATGTGCTTTTAGAAAGGTCTCGAATAACCACTTGAAGGACTCATATGTCTCATCGTACATGAGAACAGCACCAAAAACTATTGTTTCCCTGAACTGATTGAACCCAACAAATACACCAAAAAGCCTACTTTCCTTGTTTGTTCCAAAAGTAGTATCAAAACTAACAACATCACCAAAATATGCATAGTCAGTGAGCATTTTAGCATCAACCCAAAATATGTTTGCTATTTGTTCCTCCTGATCCATCTGCAATGCATATTGGAACGACGGGTTCTCTGCAATTTTATCTTGAAAATACATGAGCATGCTTCCTGCTTGACCATATGCCATCTCTCGTTGGCGCTTGCCCCGTAAATAATTCTTGTGCTCACGAAGAGTGTATCTGAGATTAAGTGAGCCACCAACTTGGATACTAGCCAACTCATGTGCTGCTTTGGGCCCAATTCCCGCATCGTCGGCTGTCTCAATTTCAAAACCTTGTAACTCTGAAATTTTTCTTTGAGACACCATCAAGTGCGAGGTTTCTGGCAACTGAAGGATGTGATTGTGTTCCAAAACAAGATCAGCCACTTTATAATTCCCCTTCTCTAGATCTAGTACAACACCCATGCGAACTTGACAATCGGTTCTAGTTTCAGCTGTAGGACACTTTGTTAGATGATCCCTTTTATCTTCCTTTCTATGGCCTTCATTTGCACAAACATATCTGCAGGACCTAACCTTCCCATCTGATTTTCTTTTGTTTGTGTACCGTTTTCTCACCTCAAACCCTTTCTGACCTCCATAGCTATTCCAAAACATCCAAGCCTCATCTGTACTGCTGAATTCCATGCCAACTTGAGGTAACAAACTAGGGGAAAACCCATCCCTACAGCAAACAAAATATTTAATTTGATGGTGGTATGATAAGCAACTAAAATATATCTGTACGCATTGGGAGTAGGGATGAAAACGGTCGGAAACGATCGGAAAACAGCCTCAACCATTTCCGTAACCATATTTTTCTCGGAAACGAAATCGGAAACGGTAAAGTCGGAAACGAAAACGATATCGGAAATATCGGAAAATCGGAAACGGAACAATATGGACGGAAACATGTCGGTACAGATCGGAAACCGGTAACAAATACGGAAACATTAAACTATAAAAACATATATTTAACTTTACATAAGTATGTTATATATATATACATAAATTCAAGCTTATACTATATAAATTATAAATTAACTTCATTTTAGCCATGTACAAAAGTTAGAGATTTTATTGAAGAGTCATTCAATCTATAAGCTGTGGGTCAAGTATAGACATGTCCTATAATATCGACATATTTAGAATACGGTAATTACCATATTATAAGAAACGGTAATTTCCGCGAGAATACGGTAAATACGGAAACGATCGGTATAACAGCAAAACCATTTCCGTTTTCATTTCCATATTTTTTACCATTTCCATTTTTGTTTCGGTCGATTACCATTTCCATATGGCTCGGCCGGTAGAAAGTCAAAAACGAACGCCGGTCGGCCGGTAATTACCGTTACCGTTTTCACCCCTAATTGGGAGAAAGAAACAAGCATGGGTTACACACCTCTTTTCTTCCATCTCATATATCCTGCTTCTATTTTTTGATGAATCGCAAGTTGATGTTTCGTTAAACTATTTCCACACAGGCTAACATAGGAGAGGATGGCAAACAAATTAGAAGAAGATTGTTGCAATCTAAACACACACACATGAAGACTGTGCAAACCTGCGAGCATGATCTTGTTTTCTCTGTTTTTACTGCAGCTGATCGCCTCACCCTCGTGCTCCACGGAGAAGCCGATCGCCTCACCCTCTTGCCGACGCCTCACGTTCACTCGCGGGAAAAGCAGATGGGATTCGCGCCAAAAAGGAAAAGACGGCGCCAAAAAGGGGAGCAACGGGCTGACGATGGTGTGCTTGTTGGGCCTAGGCCCAGATAACAAAGGAGCGAAGCAGCCGGACGTGCAGCTCCACGCAAAGGCGTTCGATCGTGAGCTGACGGATGGATTCGCGTGACTGCTCTCTACCATCATTCCAGGTCAAGAGGGGAGGAAGAAGAGAGGGAGGAGATGACATGTGGGCCCACATGTCAGTGGGCCCCACAATTTTTAATATGTGTGAATGACAAACGGGTCCCACGTATGCGTTTTTAATTCAAATGCCACCTGAGCGCCACGTCAACCCACATCCTAGGTCAATATTGCTACGTCAGCGAAACCGCCATCTAAAACCACCAAGGGAGTCAAATTGCACCGGTTTCAATAGTTTGAGGGTCGAGATATCCGGTTTTGCGGTTAAGGGCCATGGATTAGATTTGGGCCACTTTTAAGGGAGTCAAAGTGGACTTATTCCTTGTCTCTATGCCTTTGGCTCACGTCAGCAATGGCGGCGGCGACGGAGGCCTTCTCGCGCCGCCTGAGCGATGCCGTTCGGGGGCTCTCCGGCGCCTGGTACGGCCGCCACATGGCCGCCGCCGACCGCGCCATCCGCAGCCGCCTCCCCCTCGTCGACCTCGTCCTCGAGGTCCGCGACGCCCGGGTATGGCGCCCACTGCTCTCCACCTCCTCTCTATTGTCTTCCGCTGCTCCAGACAGAGTCAAGCATCGTTTTCCCCCCATGCGCTTGCTTGCTGAGTCTAACCCCGCAGGTACCCGCCGCCTCGGCGTTCGCGCCACTCCGCCGCCGCTCCCCGGAGCCCGACCGCCGCCGCCTCGTCGTGCTCAACAAGGCCGACCTCGCGGACCCCTCTCAAACCGAGGTAACCCTAATCCCAACCCTCATCTGTAACTAGAGCAGATTTTGACTGCCCCGAGATGGGTAAGTGATCAGTTCTGATCTGATACACACACGCGAGCGTTGTTCGTATTGGTGTTGGTGTTCTCCAGAAGTGGATGGCGTACATGAAGCAAACGAGCTGCTCCTGCGTCGCTCTTAATTCGCACAGCAGGGAGGGCATCAAGGAGGTAGGTAATGCTGTTTCTAGTGTTCTTACCTGTTGATTACATTAGCGGCTGATTTGATTGGGTGCTAATTTAACTGTGAAATAGCTGTTGAATGCTGTGCGGGCAAAGATCAGGGAGATTAAACTTGGTGAGAGCGATTGCACTGGAACCGTCCTCTTGGTCGGTATTCCTAATGTTGGGAAGTCAGCAATCGTCAATGCCATGCATCGAATTGGGAGGATTGGGGCAGCAGGTGAGGCAGCTTATTACTGTTGATACTGTAGTTGCACTAACTGTGATTCACACAACTGTGTAATATTCGTTGCTCTGTCTTTAAGAGAAGGGAAAGCTCAAGCATGCCATTGTGAGCAGCCATCCAGGAGAAACCAAGGACATAAGTGGTTACAAGGTAATTTGATTCGATATAATGCATTGCTTCTGTTCGACCCAGCAGAATGAGGGAAATAAGACCATGCTGCATGACTGTCATAACACCTTAGTTTTTTAGAGGAAATGGATAGAGGGGTCTTTGTATTCCTTATGGACATTGTAACAAATTAATTACCTGGGCAACTCTAAATCGCATAGCACCTATATTTTCTTCATAAAGAGACAGCAATGCTGAGTGCGGAAATAGCTCTGGTGCCTGTATTTTGTTGTGAACACCATCTTTTAGAAGCTGTTATCATCACCTTGTATGGCTATCTAATTGCCAAGTGCCATTCCAAATCTTAACAAGATTCAAACTTCTTATTTTTCAGGTTGCTAGTCATCCAAATATATATGTATTAGACACTCCTGGTGTTTTGTCTCCTGTATTTTTTAATGACGAGTCTGGTCCTCTACTAGCTTTGACAGGTACCAGCTACAATGGTAATCCATGGCTTGACTTGTGACTATAAGTTGTTACTGATGTATGCAAACTTCATTACAGGAGCAATCAAGGATTCCATGATGCAGGAGTTTGAGATTGCCCAATTTCTGCTTGCAATTTTGAACTCAAGGGAGACATACAAGAAGTGGGAGAACATGAATCAAGCAGGAGATATGCCTTCTTTCAGCCATGCAATGTCATCCAGCAGTCACCATAATAAAAGGCAATATGCTTCAGATCATACCCAAGTAAGCGCGTCAAGATATTCCATAGAGCACAATTCAGTCTTGTACCCATCATCATGCAGATTTTTATTATTACTGAAAGGCAATGATCATATCTCATTTAGATCCTTTTGAGGTCACATTTTAGGCATCACATGGATAGAATAGTAACTACTGTTTTGTATTTTTGCAGGATTTTGTTGTGAAGGCTGTTCGCCAAGTGCTTTTTGATAGTATATCATCTTTTAAGGGGTATTTAGAAAATGAGAATGAATTAAAGAGTTTGATAGAATGCCAGTTTATAGCCTTGCAGGAGGCTTTCAGGGTTTCTGCTGATCTAAGTGAGGATGTGCGTAAACTTGTTGCTATGAAATTACTCAACCTCTATCGAACAGGAAGACTTGGCCGTTATACCTTAGACTGTGCTCCAGATGTTAGGAAGGAAATTGTTTCATGAATCTCATGATCATTCAAGTGCGTAGTAGAACATGTCATGCATCAGAGAAGGGTTTATTCAGAAAACAAAGGCATGACCTACTGGATTCTGGGGAAAAGCATGAGTACTTTCTGCTGAAATTTTTTTTACATCATCCAACTCCGATAAACATCCTGTAGGTTTAATATTGTTTTTTTATGAGTTGTCATTCTAACAACATTTATTGGGAATCACAGCCTCACAGGCCATATTTTCTTAGTCCAAAAAGAAATACATATCTGCTTCAGAGTGATCATCTACTGATTTGATCTATTATTCAGTACTTACTCAGCTGCAGTGGAAATTGTGTGGCTGTCTAATGGTACGCCATTTGGGTTTCTCATCTTGTCATTGGAAGTAAGATCAATGGTCAGATAGTCATGTCCAGTGAATTCTCTAAAATTTGCTGCTCTCTCCAGTTCCTTCACTTCTTCAATAACCATCTCCAGCCGAACTACCATTTCTACCAACAATGAAGCAAACGCAGCGAATGGAAGTGCTTCTGAGAACTCAAGGCTTGTCATGGCTATCTTACTTAGTGTTGGCCTTAATGTGCCCCGCTCATTCCGTTCTGATGGTTGGTCTGCTTTTGTATTCCTCCTTTCTAATAGGGATGTGCCATCAGTCTTGAATGATGGTAGAGTAGTTCTTGTGGCTGTATGCTTGCTAGAATTTAATTCCATCAGCACATGACTATTTGCACATGCATGTTTGGAGCCGAGAAAGAGCCGTGGCTGTGATCTTATAGCCGAGTTTAGATCCTGTAGTGCTTCATGAAGATGATCAGACAGCACATCAGGGGCACAACGATGATGATCTCTTATGCTTACTGCAAGCTCTTGTAAAACCTTGACCACTTCTCGTGCAACTCTAGTACATGGGTTTCGGAATAGTGACCTGACGGATGGTGGAGTCTTCAACATCAATAGAGACAACCATGTCAGAACAGTTCATTCAAGGAGAATTTTCTTGATTGAAATTATACATCATATTCATGTTTATATGTCAGTTGCTAAGGATATACAACAGGATGATGCACGAGAAATTGGGCTGATGCAGTTACCTGAATCTCAGATTCTAGACATCCATGAAGTGCTGCGACAGTATATGCAAAGTGCCTAAGAACAGATCCAATCTTCACATACTTTTGCCATGGATAACTGTAACATTGCATTGAATGTCTTGGCTCCCAGCTTGCATAGTGTGCCTGGTCGATTTGGTACCAATATTGAAATCAGTATGTAATCTGCACATCATCACTTTATAGAGAGAGATTGCAAGAGAAAAGGAAAAAAATGTATCATCAAAAGGATAGTTCCTTACTAGGGTTTCATCACTTGATTTTGAGTCAAGGACTGCTCTATAACCAATGTGAATGGAAGCTCTTGATGCCTGCTTATCAAGAATTTTATCATCCTTGTCTTGATCTTGGAAATACTCAGTAACACAAGCTGCAATCATTCTTTGGTAAGGTTCTTGATACTTGTTATGCACCTATGCTCTTATTATTTAAGATGCAACATATAAGTGCTCCTATCTACTATTTACCCACCTTCAATTGATCTTGCTAATCCTTCAAATTTGCGTACTGTAGAACTGTGGAGGTCTTCTCCAGACCAGTTTGGCAATACAAAAAGACTCATGAATAGGCATATTGCACAACCTATCGCAATAGTACTTAAGCGATCTCGTGCTAAAGGCACCACATCCTCTTGACGGAAGCTTGATACTGTTATCAGATTGAAAGTTAGCAGGAAAATCACGACCCCATAATCATAGTTCTTCTTAATGGATGGGAAGAATCTCAAATATGTTGCAGCAAATCCTGTCAAGGAAACAAAGCCAACACAATAAGCTATGATCTTGCAGTAAAAAAAAAAGAAAGAACTTTACAAGGTGCGTACCTATCAGAAAGACTGATGATCCAACAAACAGAGCCCGGAATACTTTTCCAGATCGTACTGCTACAAGTTCAATTATAAATGCTAGAGATCCTGCCAAGATTGTTCCTAACCCTCTATTCAGCCCTTTGCATATAGTTGCACCTGTTGTTCAGCAGTCACTTGTGAGGAACATGAATTTCGGTAATCACTTATTTGGAACAAGAAAAGCTACATCTGGGAAGAACACATATTATTATTATTATCCTGATGCTAATGGATTATGCACGTTACCTGCAGTAAATTCAAGCACAACAACAACGGTCATCACAGCCCACATTGCATTCTTTCCCACTCCCTTGAACAACGGTTCAAGTATGTACAGGAGTGAGACCAGTGTGAGTGCTGTCCCAACCTTGAGAGCATGAATAGCCCTTCTTGGATCTTCTCTTCCTATACCCCATGCATGTGCTCCCCATGAAAAAGGAATCCTGCTAATTTTCTTCACTTGCTGATGAAGAATCGACGAGCTATTCTTGTTATTGCTGGGATCTGGAGCACAAGCCATTGGTGCGGCCTGAAACTCTTGGTGGATGCTGAGGTTTCTTACAAGATGGCAATGCAAAATAGGTGGTACCAAATGCTCGAAGCAAGTGATGCTCCTCCCCACATAAGGTTATTTTATATGAGTTCTGTCCTGCAATAATAGAAGAAACCATATACGCACTTAACTTTTGTAATTCAACTATGTTGCAAAAAAGGAGCCTCGTGTGCTTTCTCGAATGTTGCTATCGTGTATAGCCTTTAAAGTGATAGATGGTCCTTTGCATGTGATAGGGAAAAAAATTGATAGCTTGCTTGTATATATTTTGTGAAATCTTTACAAACAATTCACAAACTATATCAATGAAAGACACCCATTGATTGCATTGATCACTTGCAGTACCATTTTGATACAGTTGAGTGGTCTGATTCTATGTACAAAAGATTGCCAAAAAAGATCTAACCTTGTCATGGTTTCTCTTTCCTTATTCAAATATAAAATTATCAATAGTTAATTGAGGATTTTGTTTAAATTTTTGAGTTTGTAAGGTGGTGAAGATATCTGATGGTATTTCGATTGGATTAATAGTTATATCTCATTAGTCTTGTAAAGGATTATCAAATAAGCTGGCTGCTGTGGAGCTTTTCTGTAAAACCTACTGGTCCTTAACAAGAAATACAGGCTAACTAATGTCATAGACCGATATTTTCTGGAAACTAGAAATGTTGATCCAGTGACCTGTTTTGTCCAGCATACTGAAATGGTTAATCAAATAAACTGCTTTGCTTATCAATGCTGTTTATTCTTAGCTTCTATTCTGCCTAAGAAGATTATGCATAACATTGAAGATCCTAGTTTGGTCGATGACTCGATGCACATCAGTTTGGTGCATCCAACTATGCAATATTTCTGCTTTGGCAACCTTCTTTTAACTCTACCTTAGCTTGTTCAGTTTGTTCAGAGGTATTCTTGAATGAACATTTTGATCCCTTTTACATAACTCCTACACTTATAATACTGCAGCTCTTTCCAAACCTTGCCCTCACTTTAAGGCCATTCCGCTTGTTTTGGACTGAGATTTATTCAACTTGCTGCAGGCAGGTGGTGCAAGGTGTCCCAAAAATCAGGAACTGAGAGGACAATATTTTCTCTATGTTGAGCAACTCACAAGTCATAAGACGATACATATTTTTCATTCTTTTCCTGACTCTGATATATTGCTCACACAAGGTGAAGGCAGGGACTTCTTTTCCTGAGTCTGATATATTATATATGCTCACACAAGGTGAAGGCAAGGATGAGGCCTTGACTTTGCGCTGCTGTGGACCATTATTGAATGAAGTCACATGGAAGTTGGGAAAGACCTAAAGAAGTTGGCAAGCCGCTCGTGTGCCTTGATTGGACGACAATCGTCGGCCCATGGCCGGTTCTCTTGAGAAGGACTTGTGCGGAGGTTAAGCTCACGAAGGTATAGTTGTTTTTTTTTTTTTTTTTTTGGCAGCTGCAGTGCTTGACATTGGAGCAGCCGTCAGGTCGTCTTTTGCCTTCTAGTGGTTGACATTATGCCAGGTGGCATATACAGTATATTGCACAAGCACACCTGTGAAATGTTGGCGGTTGTCACTTGTCAGGTGTCTGTGTGCAAGTTGGACTTGGAATGCAAAGGCCGGCGTTGTGGTTGTGCTTTGATTTTCCATCTGAATTTCCAGATCGGCAGCCCAAATACTTTGCAACTTTGGAATCCAGATTGCTAACTTTAATTCTCTGCTATGTGCTGCATCTGGGATGCAAGGAAGGAATGTCGAAAGATAGATGGGCCGCTATTACTGCTGGACTGGACTGGACTGGAGGCCCAAGACCGGTAACAAGGCGTGCACTTGGCTGCTGACAATAGAAGCTGGGAAAAATTGCTGGCACGTGCGTGTGTTCGTTCGATACCAACGACTTTGCTTGCTCTACCACCTGGGTTGCTGTTCCAATCTGCAACGACATTACAGATATGCTGAGATCTAGTGGTACAGAGTACCTTTAGCTGTGCATAGGAGGAGTACCTTGAGCTGTGCATAGTAGCAGTTGTTTGCTGTGCTGGAAAAAGCCATTAAAAGAAGTTTGATCCATTTGGTGACTTGGACGAAGTTTCAAAACAGCCTCCCCTGGCTAGCACGTACTAGTAGTACTCTATGTGGCGGCGCCGGCAGTATTCTATTCTAGAAGAAGATGAATTTTAAGCAGCAAAAACGGCAGTTTTTAATCACCAAATTAATTAAGCAGCTATTAATTAAGGGACGGATTGCCCCCATTTGACAAGGGTTGATTCTAGAAGGGCAAATTAATTGTCCGTCGGCTAGCGCAGCCACTGGAGGCTGAGGCTGCCATCGCAGCATGCCGTTAAATCGCTCAAATTTACACTATACTGTACTCCCTCCGTATAGAAAAATCATTTTTGAAATTCTGAATTTAAATCTGAACATATATTATATTCAAATTTAAACTTAGAAGTAGACTTATTTTGAAGACGGAAGATGTACCTCCCAGGGGATCACGTTCTAGCATCTTCTCCAATCATGCATGCTGACGATGTATGCTCATCAATCAAGACAGGGGGCCAGGCAGGGGCTATCCATAATCCATCCCTCACGTCTCATGCATGTCGCATCCATCTAGATGTTCTCTCGAGAAAATTGGAAGTAATTGTTGTATACTTTTGCGTGTTTTTGGGTCGTACGAACTCCATGGTAGTACGTGATAGATAGTAACTTGCATGTACTCCCGTCCGTAAAAAAACCAACTATGTCTAGATGCGACACATCCTATTAATACAAATATGGATATACATAACTTTGATTGTGTTTAGATCTAGGGATGTAAAGTTTCGGCGTGTCATATCAGATATATAGACACATATTTGAAGTATTAAACGTAGACTAATAACAAAATAAATTACAGAATCCGCCTGTAAACTGTGAGGCAAATTTATTAAACCTAATTAATCCGTTATTAATAAATATTTACTGTAGTAAACATTCGATGTGGCAGAGTAAAAATTTTTGACAGGGGATTTAAACGGGGCCTTTATATAAATTTGTTGTACTATATTTTTTAGACCGAGGAAGTAGAGTACACTATTATAGACTAGTGGGAGGAAAGCGTACTGCACGTACGTTAGGTTGATTCTTGCTAGTGGGTGGATAACTCGCATCTGTATTATGCTGTTGCTCATATCGAATACTCATATATATATGCACGACTGTCCGATCGATTAAACTAGTACATATGGTAGTGCAAGCTAGGGTAGGATAAGTTGAATTATTTGCTGGTTGCTGCTCGGCTTGACTAATCCGAAGACGATTATTTTAGGTTGTGTCCACTAACGATCCAATCCAATGGGCCTCCGCCGCTTGTTTGCGTATTAACGGCAAGATAAGTTAATAGACATGAACCTGTTATAAATTGTGATACAGAGAAGTAAACAAAATCGGGGATGTAGCTCAAATGGTAGAGCGCTCGCTTTGCATGCGAGAGGCACGGGGTTCGATCCCCCGCATCTCCATTAATCTCTATCCCTTTTTTACAAATCATCGCCCATAATCATTTTTTTCTATCGTACTCCTACCAAGTATAGTGTATCCTATTATAAAGTTATCTACACTAACTTCTTAAGCTTAATATGTAAAGATGACATATCATCATCCACTGACAAGCTTAGTATAAAGTTATTCTCCACTGACTCCTTAAGCTTAACATACAAAGATGCCACATCATCATTCACTAACAATCATCACATTTAAAGTACAAACATGCTATATGTTTATAGTTTTTATAATTTAATTACTACTACTTTTATGATCGACTCGAAAGTAACTCTGCACTGTGCGTGTACTCCATTCATTTCCGGCCGGCATTATTCGTTATCGTCGGATTCCGCACATTGATAATGACATTTGAGATAGTAGTAAAAGGGATGCTCGCTCCCCCTACATTGCCAACTTTGACACTGCATCGTCGATGCTGTCAAATGCATGATGGCTGATGCTGCCTCTTCCTCTTTAATTTCCTGCAGCCAGCGTAGCTACTCTCGCTTGCATGGCCGGAATTCCACGCAACTAACCAACCATCGACTTTGATCGGTTGGTTACATTCCCCATGGTCATAGATTCCACTCTTACCGTTCCTTTACACACCAACCCTAGATAAAAACTGCAACTCATCAGTGATGGAGATAGCATCGTCGTAAAGTTCGGATGACTAGTAGTGATCGATTTTTTTTTTCTTTACGTATCAACGGCTAACGATAATGAAGACGACAGTGACGGAGCCCGGGCAGCCATCCGATCTGCCCAGGAGCTGTGTTCGTCACTGCTAGAACTATATAAGTGGAGCAAATGAAGTGGATTACTTTTCCATCTATTACAATAAAGATTATTTTTATCTTAGTGATTAATAATACTAAGTAGGAAATAAATCACAAACGGGCTTGTATTTGGGTAGTGAATTATCCCGTTACCTCCCATCTGGCAAAACCGGCCTGTGGTCGTCGTTTATGTGAAGGGGTTGGTCGCACCAACGAACCCAAACAGCTTAGCTTGTCCTATATATGCCGACCCTGTCCCCGTGGTGTGATGTACTATATATAAGCCCATGTTTAGCATTGCTGACGTAGCACAAGTTGATAGACAGAAAAGAACATGGGACAAACTCCAACAGAGTTTCCTCGTCCACTAATCTAACCTACGTCACTAATTTAATCCACTCTAGTAAACGAAGGCACTCTAGGAGTAATACAATCTACTCTAGCGGAATAGGAGTACTCCCCTGTAGAGCACGCAGCCTTGGGTAAACTCGTGAGGGCAGGTACAATAGCAAGCTATAAGCCAGCTGTAAATATATTTTAAGGGGTTCTTTGAATCAAAGGATTTATGTAGGAATTTCATAGGATTCAAATCCTATGGGAAATTTTCATATTTGGCCCTTTGATTCAAAGGATTGAAGCTTTCCAAATCCTATGAAATTCCTATGGAATGGCACATTGCATGTGGATTTTGGAGGAAATTTAGCAAGAGCTCTAACCTCTTGGAAAATTTCCTTTGAGTCTATCTCTCTCATCCGATTAGAGATTCCTGCGTTTTCTTACGCTCCAATCAAACGACCATTCCTATGTTTTTCCTGTGTTTTGCAATTCTTTGTTTTACACTTCAATTCCTGTCAGAATCCTGTGTTTTTCCTATTCCTTCGTTTTTTCTACTCTGCAATTCAAAGAGGCCCTAAGAGATAAATGAAGAGAGAGAAGAGCAGCGAGCTACAGATTTATAGCCAGTTGTAGCACGGACTCTAAGACACAGTGTGTGTATGACAGGTGAGACCAGGTATTAATAGCATAGTATATAACTATTATGAATGAGCTATTAGATTAGTTATAGATGAATTAGAGCTAGTAGTTGGCTATACTATTAAACTTGCTCTGATACCTCTACCCGTACTAGTAGGTCAATAATTAAACTATTCCTACATCAATTAATTACAGTAATTTGGGTTGGGACTTGGGAATTACTCCTGCAATATACTCCCTCGTCCACAAAAGTTATACATATTTCACATTTAAGTTTTTCCAAATAAGTTGTTTCTATTTATAGTCTTTATACATTTAAGATTTAAATGAAAAGATAAATTAAATGTTTTATTAGAACTCAAGGAGTCATCTAAATACTCATTGGTTGTATGCTTGCATTTACTCCTTGATTTTGTAACATTCAATGTGATTTAATTTTTTCTTGGTCTTGGTGACAAAAGTAATATGGATAATTTTGTGGATGGAGAGAGTACTGTACAGTCGGACACAGCGGTGACCACATGGTGGGTAATCTTGGGAAAAGGTGGTCGTTCCAGATCCTACCTGACACATCCCGATGCGTTGCCAGCTCATCCCGTGGGCCCCACCCAGCCGCCTAGCCCATTTTGCGCTTTACCCCCTCTACTTCCTTCCCAATCTCAACCCCACCCTCCTTATACCGAGAAGACTTTTTCTTCGCAACCGGGAGGGACCCTCTGGTTTGCTGTTTTTATAAGGCGGACTCCTCAACTCCACTCCCACTTGCAGTTGCACCGCATCTCATCTCATTTATTACCAACCCACTCCTCTCTCTCTCTCTCTCTCTCATCTCTCGTCGTTTTCTCTCTCCTCGATCGAGGGCACGCGACGCGCCATGGCGTCGGCGGCGGAGGCGGTGGAGGAGCTCACGAGGCTGTACCGGGAGCTCCCGCCGCGCCCCGCCGTCGAGGAGGTGGAGGCGGCGGAGGCCGTGCTGGCCTCGGCCGACGCGGAGGAGGCGGCGCGCCTCGATGAGGTGGCGCGGGAGGAGGCCTCGGCCTCAGCGTCCTCGTCGGCGGCGGCGCCGGGGCGGGCCGACGGGGAGCTCCTCGCCGTGCTGCGGGAGGCCAGGCGCAACGCCGTGCGGCTCCGCGCGCTGCAGCAGCGGAAGGAGGCCGCGTACGTCGTCGAGCTCGAGAGGCGCTTCAAGGTGTTCGACGATTTGATCCAGAGGGCGTCGCGGGTGGTCTCCTCCTCCTCCGACGCCGCCGAAGCGGGAGGGGGAACCACCGGCGATGGATACGTTGGTGTTGGTGCGGACAGCGTGGACCTGGAGATGGAGCTGAGGAAGAAGGAGGCGGCGGTTGCGGCCGCGGCCGCCGTCGCGGAGATGGAGCGCGGAAGCAAGGGTCTCGCTGCCCTGGGCTTGGAGTCCAAGCCCATCTCCTCGCTACGCCGTGATGTCTCTGCAGGTAATTTGCTTTCAAGTACAGTATTATTTTGTCGGAATCACGAAATCCTAAAAATCTTTGTACTACTATATATCCATGTGTGATGGTTTCGATGCTGCCGTGTTCTATGGACCCGACATAATTTTGCAGTATCTGTTTTTTTTTCCGGTTAAATTTCACTACCTTGCACGAATTGGATGCTCATGTCATGCATATGGGCGTAATATTTCCATTACGATGTGGTTGCTACCTTTTATATAGAAAGAATCACTAGAAATAATTGTCAACTGACGTAATGGCGTACTGATTTGTTAGTGTTGCTTTGATTTTCTTCAACTAGTTGCCATTTAATTGCACACTGTTTATAAATTGCCTATTCTTGTTTCACTAGTACTATAATTGGAAACATAGAGGAGCGGTCTCGTAGTTTGTGATGATTCTGTATTTCTGCTTGTTGGTTTAGCAAATTACACGATTGATGTCTACAAGGTACCAGTGTACCGCAACTGATTTTTCACCTTTCGCTATGAGTTAGCGTTTGATGTGAACAACCACCTCTGCAGCCAATTGTCACATCACATCCATTTCTTCAAAGGAATTTCGTGCTATTTTGTGATTTCTTTTTTCTTGACATAATGCATTAGTCGTTTGTTGGTCCCAGCTTTAATTTTTAATTTTCTTGCGGTAGTTGGAGGACCATTCCCTTGTTGGTCACTGCTGGACCTGGTGTATCATTTGTCTCTTGTGCCTGGTGATCTGATATTGTTAATTCATTTGTTACCAGTTAGGCAATAGCATAATTATTTGTCTGAATACGATATGAATCATGAGCAATTAGTCATTTTGCTTTGTTGACTTTGGAGGTGCTATCTAATGTAGGCCTTAATCATGCTTAGGCAAGTAGTGATCATCAAATTTGTAACGGTACCATAAATGTGATCAGCATTTTTGAGATGTCAGTACTTGTGTTATCCTAAGTTCCACTTGTCAATATCCCTGCAGGTACTGACATGGAAAAATTGAGCCTTATCCAAGTGGCAAGCCTGATAGAGTCATCAGCAAAGAAAGGGATCACAGAACTCAGCCTCCGGGGGAAACTGGTCGACCAGATCGAGTGGCTCCCTGTTTCACTCGGCAAATTGCAAGATGTTACCGAGCTTGATCTTTCCGAGAATAGGATCATGGCACTCCCATCAACAATTGGCAGCCTTAGATATTTGACAAAGCTTGACCTACACTCAAATCAGCTGATCAATCTGCCCGACGCGTTTGGGGAACTCTCCAACCTAATTGATCTTGACCTGCATGCCAACCAGCTTAAGTCTCTTCCTTCATCATTTGGAAATCTCACGAGCCTAGCAAACCTTGACCTGAGCTCAAATATGTTGAAGGCTCTTCCAGATTGTTTAGGAAAATTGGCAAACTTGAGAAGATTAATTGTTGAGACAAATGAGCTTGAGGAGCTACCCTATACTATTGGATCTTGCACATCTCTTGTGGAGCTTAGGTTGGATTTCAATCAGTTAAAAGCCCTTCCAGAGGCCATTGGGAAGTTGGAGAAGCTGGAAATACTGACATTGCACTATAACAGAATCAAAGGATTGCCTACAACAGTGGGTTCACTTTCCAGATTGAGAGAGCTGGATGTCAGTTTTAATGAGGTTGAAGTAATCCCTGAGAACATTTGCTTTGCGACAAGTCTTGTGAAGTTGAATCTCAGCAGGAATTTTGCAGACTTAAGAGCACTGCCGAAATCAATAGGAAATCTTGAGATGCTAGAGGAGCTGGACATAAGCAGTAACCAGATACGGGTACTGCCAGATTCGTTCAGGTGTCTTTCGAGGCTACGTGTATTTCATGCTGATGAGACTCCACTTGAATTTCCACCAAGAGAAGTTGTAAAGTTAGGGGCTCAGGTACACATTATACTGCCGTTCTGCCATATTTGCTTACTTAGTCCTTCGCTTTCTTTAAATGATTAACAATGTTTCTTCTGCATGCCAGGCTGTGGTCAAGTATATGAATGATTTGAATGCTGCAAGAGGAACAAACCAGAAGAAAACAGATCGGGGAAGCTTCTGGACCTGGCTCTTCTCGCTGTTTGGTTGTTGCAAAAAGAACCAAGAAGTGGGATTGCCAGTATAACTGAAGCATTTCATCATCTGTATGTATGTTGTGAATTACTCAGGTCTGCAAAGAAAGGAAACGTGGATAATTTGGTTCCTCTTGTTTTTTTTGTCCCTTTTTTTTGGTGTGTATATATGTAATTTTGTCATGTAAGGTCCATTTCTAGTTATGCAAGACCTATTAAGATTCATTTCTGTGTGTAACTTCATTTGTATGATAGCATGTTACTGCTTCCATATTAAAAACTGTCTTACAGCAAGTATTATATGGTTATATTCTAGTTACTGCTCTTTGCTCTTGTATTAGAAGTGAGAAGTGGCGACAATGTCAGTTTGTGCCTCATTCTGGTTACTGTGGGGGAAAAACTGACCCTTGTTCTTGATCATATCCATCATGCTAATGTGCCAAACCTGAATATATTGCGTTCATGTATATATAATCTGTAATGGATAATATATGTAACACATTTTTATTTACTGATATTATTGTGGTAATATTTTCTTGCTTAGCAGGAAGAGTCAAGAGATACAAGGAAGGTGAAACTATTCAGAAAGCAAAAAAACCAGCTGCGCAGATTAGTCCCTGAAGCTCCATAAGGTTTTTTGCTGTACTTGTTTTAGTAATTCAGTCACATAACTTAATTTGTGCATTTTGTGCCTTTTTCTTCCCCTTATGGCTTAATTTGACTTAGCGTGCCAATTGTCAAGAGTTATAGTTTTTGCATCTGCTCTATATTTTAGAAATTGAGAGGCCTGGTTTATCGGCCTTTGGCAAATCTAGAATACAAGTAACAACATGCTTCTTTCATTAAAAAGAGTTAACAACGTGGCCACGATGATGTATACCCCTTGAGTCACGTCATGGTTACTGGGAAGGATGCGAATAGTTGGATTCCAAGGTCATTTAAGTTGACTAGGTGGCACTTGATATCAAAAAAGTTCAAGACTGATGACTCCTGCTGAGCTGTCTAGAGTAAACTGTATAGTGTAGAATAGCTTTCTGTTAAGAATTGAGACGCACATGATATTGGAATGCATCAGCAGTGGAACAAGTATTCAGTTTCATCCTTGACCAGACCTTTACTTATGCTTCCACCACTTAAAACTAGATGATATCCTGCGCGGGTTGCTTCGGAATATTTATATTGAAATGTAGTAGAATTTAAAGATTCATGTACACTTTGTGAGATAAAAAAATACTAATAAAAAGAAGGGAAACCGAGGCAAAACAGATTAACCCAGTAAATTGCTTGCAGCATTATGTTATTTGAAGGGAAAAAATGTAACCAATCCATAGTCTTTTCTAATAGTATTGAGTTTGGCATATTTTTTTCAGGTACACCGCAATATATTTTTCAAGGCCGCTACACCATCCTGAAAATATTGATAATGTTTCAAAATAAACTTCATCATATTGCTATGCTCCAAGACACTTGTAGAAATACAAACATGGTTCTCTACAGACATTTTATTTACTTATGCAAACAACAAATCTTAGTTCTGTTCAGCAAGTCTATTGCATCAGAATTTGACCTATTGGGTCTAATGGTTTTGTTGTAAAACTATATTAATTTGTTACTGCATCAAACATGTACTCAAAGGTGAAGGTTGAGTTTCGTTTATTTTCCCAGTATTCTGAAGTTGATGTCATGAAACTGTGTTGTTTCATACATGAATTGCTAATCAAACCGTGCCTTATTCTATTAATTGCTTCACTAATTATAGAGTGGGTGACCATGCCTTTAGTCACCAACGTAAATGTTCTGAGTGGCAAGAAATATATACTGAGCAAGGAGTCTTTGTGACAGCATACTTTGAGACTATAGCTTTCACCTATTGTTACAAACTATGCAACTGATAGTATTATTATCTTTTAATCACCAAGAAGATTAAATGTTAGTTACAAAATACATTTAGCGACAGGATTTATGAGTATTAACCTTTTGCAAAAAAAAAAAAACTTCAATAGTTTTCTCCAGCCCAAAATTGCAAGAGTATTAGCTTTGGGATCATTCGGAACAGAATTCCTGAGTATTAACAGTATGACCAAAAATTTCGTGATTTTAGCCTTTGGCTTGTAATTTTGTGAGCATAGCCTCGAACAAACTTTCATGACTACTAACCTTTTCCCTGGTCCAAAAAATTTATGAGTACTAGCCTTGGGATCAATGTGCACAAATTTGTGAATATTAACCTTATGAATAAAAACTCCATGTTTTTTAACTTTTGGCCTAAAATTTCATGAGTTATAGTCTTCAGCCAAAAATCGTTTGTATCAACTTTTGGAGAAAATAAACTTCAATATTTTTCTCCTTTTCAAAATTTCATGAGTATTAGCATGGGATCTTTGGGTACAAAATTCATTAATATTAACCTTAAAACCAATTACGTGATTTTCTAGCCTTCAGTCTATATTTCCGTGCCTCGGACCAAACTTTCTTGAGTATGAAAGGTTGGCAAAAAAAAGGCACGAATATTTCTATTCCAACCTAAAATTTTATGAGTATTAGCCTTGGAATCATTGTGCATAAAAAAATCCGTAATTTTTAGCTTTCAGTCCAAATTTTCATGAACTATAGCTCTCTACAATTCATGAGTATACCTTTAGAAAAAAAAGCTTCAATATTTTTTTTTCAAAATTCACAAGTATTAGCAATTTAGCATTGGTATCGTTGGGCAGAATATTCGTGAATATTAGTTTTACGTGTTAGCGTTCATTGAAAATTGATGGGTATTACCCTTTAATAAAAAACCATTAATATTTGAAACATTAGCTTTGAGATCGTTGTCCTCAAATTCGAAAATATTAACCTTATGACTATGGGCTTTTATGGGCCTGAATATTTTGAATCGTACCGTTAGTAGTCGTTTTTTTCGATTTTGGGGTAGGTGGGCCATGATTTATTGACTTTGGGCCGTTAGTTGATGTTAGAAGGACCGTTCATCTTCTTTGAGCCATTAGCGGGCTAAATTTTCTTTATGACTTATTCGGTTATTAATCCCACCATGTGAAAGGAATCGAGAGGGATTAACCGAACAAGGTTTTCAACACTTTCGCAATGATTAATTTTGTCTGCACACTTCGATTTGATGGAACTATCGCAATGAAACTTAAATGGATATTGAGGGAATCGAAGACCGATCAGGCAGGTCAAGATGCAAACGATCGCTCCGGTGGTAAATGGTGCTTCTTGCAAATTTGTTTTTTTTTTTGAAGACTGCAAATTTGTTGAGAGTCTATCAGGCTCTGCCCCATGATGCATCAACAACAAAGAGTAAAAGCGCGCGCGGGAGAGGGGGGAATGCAGCCGATGCCCCGACTAACTTTATAATGTGTAATTTCAACACGTTAAAAGCTGCTGTCGTAAACAGTACAGCAAGAGTGCAATGCAGCCGATGCCCCAACTTCAAGCAAGAGCTCATCGAAAATTGAAAGTAAAAAGGATGACTGATGCGTCATACGTTAACAAACGAGCACAGGGCTACTGGTATTCATCTGATAATATTGTCGCAGAGCCTCAACACAATAATCCTTGGAAATACATAGATATAACAGGTATCCTATTCCATGTATAGCAAACGGAGATTCTCTAGTGAACCACCAAGTACGAGTTGAACGCGGGAAAAAAAAGGATTGAACCATCCTTACCGACTAATATGCGTCCGTGTCTTTCCATGCTAATATACTCACAGATGTATACACAGTTGCAAACTCTTCTTTTCTCGAGCAAATCATTGCCAGCTGCTTGCAGCCAATCAGAAATCATAGCTGAAAGTTATATATATATATATATATATATATATATATATATATATATATATATATATATATATATACAAGAATAAAAGCATAAAAGCCTAGAAACAAGACAAATAAACAAATCGTTGGGATGAATCGTTGAAGCATTGGGACACGGACATATTTTATGAGCTGATGAAAATCAATCGTGTTCATCCTACTACCCAAAAACAATAAGCACTAGGACAAGGTACCTCGTACCAACTATTATACAACATATATTAGACAAACGGTGCATATTTGTTTTGCTTGGGTTTGTGCCTAAGCATGATATAGTCTAGCTGAAAAGGTCCATATAGGTACTCTAACAAACTGATCAACTAACCAACCAAGACCTTATAATGTGTAATTTCAACACGTTAAAAGCTGCTGTCGTAAACAGTACAGCAAGAGTGCATAGTGCATACGCACAATGCTTGAAAACAAACAACAGCGCACCTAGCTTGAAAATAAAATACCCAGAATTTTGGGGGCCCTATTCTGAACCAATATCATGGGCCCAGATAACAGAAGGACATCTCATAACATGCGAACTTCCTATACATAATTCACCCAGCTATGCTGTGCCACACTACTGCAGATTGGATTACAATAAGAATAAAAAATAAGCTAATAGTGAGAACATTCACTTGCATATACAAGATATCAGGACCACACATGGCCTTCAGCAGCTAGAGTATTGACATATGATGAATAGAAACCAATGGATATACAGGCATGAAGCTATTCAATAAAGTGTATAGAGAGTCCATACCATGACCTACTGACATCCAGCAGCTTCAGTGCTTGACCACCTTGAACAAAAGCCCAACATGTCCACATGCGAAATATACATAGAAACGAGTACTTCAATAAATCTCATCATTTTCAGGAACTTCAATAAAAATCCATAGGAACTATAAGCAGCAATGACCAAGAAATTCAAAGAATAAAGGACACAAGAGGATCAAGTTCGTTTGAAGTTGTGATTACAAGCTGTTCATTCTCGAATAGAACATCATTAGATACTGTGGTCTAATTTGAAAAAGAGGGACCTAAGATGACATAAACGCAAAACAGAGGAAACATTTAATATGTTGCACGTAAATAGTTTGGGAAAAATGCTTGGGGGAAACCTGGACAGCTGAAACTGAAACTAGTAAATACTAACGGTGAAATCTATATAGCATACGGGAAAAAGAGGGAGGAGAATCTACGTATTAAATTGTGCTAGACAGAGAAAATGGCAGGAAAGAAACATAAACGGACAATTGGCCAGGTGGCAAACTGAGTTTTTCAACCACTATAGTAGCAAAAATCAGTTATTATCTGCTATATAGTTAGAAGGAAAGTAAAACCTCTAAAAAGATGTGGTCAGATAACAATTAGCAGTCATTAATGAACTTTTCAATACCTACCTTATACTTGAATAAAGTTTTAGGGGTGAATCTTCGAGTCCCTTCTCATACCAAATGCTGTGACTTCAGTCAACACCTTCCAAATACATAACAGGAAAAAAAGGACAAATGAGCTGCCAACAGTATGCAAGCATTCTATAAGATGTCAAAGGATAAAGAGAAGTACCACAAAATGAAAGAGCTTCGGGCACATCAAGATGAAGCTGGTTAATAATTTCTAAATCTCTGCATCTCAAGCTGATAAGCAAAAATACAAAACCAGAACTGGTAACCGAATAAGTTGAATAAATCTGTTATCGATGAGAGACTAGTAGATGTGTACATTTGTTGAGATGATTGAACAGATATGCTGATTCGGTTATTCTTAAGGATTTCCCTGCTAGAGGAAGTGCCAATTTAAGCATGGAAAAAACTTGCATTTATCAAACTTCACATTCTGATCTATCCTTTATGTCATACCAGTTCGTTTGGGAACTAAAACACCATAATCACACAAAATGCAGAAGCCTAATACCATCACCAGACCAGCATCTCTAGCAACAACCAGATGCATAGAACAGTGAAATAAACCAAAGGTTTCCATAATTTAACAGCTATACCATACTACTACCCTGTCTAAACCCCATAAAGTAAAACACAGCACAAAACTGTACACTCAAATATCTAGAGAAGCAATGAAGTGTTCATGCCAGGTTTCTCTGGCAGAAACTGCTTCATCTCAAGAGCCTGGTTGCTAGTCACTACACCAGGGAGCCCAAGAGACAGAGACAGCGGTCCATCATCTCCTGTATCAGAACCGGTAAGATTATGCTTCTTTGAGGCCATAGAAAGGGACAGTGACAGTAGAGGAGAAGGGCCCTCTTCTTCCTTCAGTGATGTCTTATTCAGATTATTACGAGGTTCTGGGGAGTCTTCATCATCTGAAGATAGGACATGGATCACATGATCCAAGATTGGTTTAGTTGGAGAACAGGGATCTGCTGGAACCCTACCAATATATTGCACATCATCTAATGAAGTATGCTGATCAGCTGGCAAGGGTATCTTGGACAAGCATTTGCTAGTCAGTTGACCATCTCCAAAACTGCAAGTAGAGTATTTTCCCTCAGAGGTCTTTTGCCGTTTGTAGATGGAACTAGAATCAGGCAAAACAAAGTCCTTTAAAACTGAATCACTTGGATCATCAGAAAGCTTTGGCCTGACAGAATGCTGTGGGGATACTTCTTGAAAGGATACGCGTGCCTGTGTATTTGCCAATATCTCATCAGATACTGATCTGGTGGTTGCACCTGTATGCTGCTTAGTAAAGCATGGAACTCCATTCTTGGTAAAGCTCTCTTCCTCCTCCATGTTGTCCCTGCCCGCTGTTCCTTCGCTACCTGAAATGAACAAAATACACATGTAAAACAAGAAAAGAAAATATTGGGCTCTATCAGTAACTACATTTAATTAAAAGATGTAAGCACCTATTATATCACTTGGATATTCTGGTTTAATGTTGAGGCATTCACGTTTTGAACTTGTGTGAACATGAACTCCATAGGGAACTGCAGTAGGAGTTCCTAACAAAATTTTCCCAGTCCCTGCAGTTTCTGGGAAATGTATTTCACATAAATTCAGCCTTTCAGCCTCATGGTTGGACCTCAACAAAGTCTCATGGTTTACAGATGCACCACGATTCTCCATCTCCGTTTGAACTGATACAGCTGGATCATACAATTCATCAACAGGGCACTCATTCAAATCTATGCCCAAAGACTGAGGCATCTTAGGGGAACAGACAAGTTGATTAACAGGTCCATTAATTTGTTCTAATGGACTATGATTCATCCCTTTGACAAGCAGCTCAGTTGAACTACTTGCCTTTCTGGCATAAAGGACACCCCAAAAGAAAAGTAAGCCATTCCACCCTATAATCATTGAATAAATTGAATTAGTAATCTAGCCATTTTTCAAACAATAACATGACTATATTAGCTAAGATAAGCCTTACGTTGAGTCCTCTCAGGCAGCTTATCAGACGTAAAAATGAGAAGTTCAATGCCACAAATATTTGCTGTGAGGGACAAATCTCCAGCAAGCATGTTTTCCAACAGTTTCCCATATGCTCTTTCATAACTGCACGAAGAACAGAAAAGAATCAGCTTGTTTATTTATGGTAAAGGAATTTAAATCAGTGAAACAGTGAGCATTACCTTTCAACATCTTTAGCAAAGAAATAAAGAGCAATGTTATCTTCATTCGGCTTTACTTCCTTAAATTGCAGTGGCCATGAGGAATGCCGTGGAACTTCTACCAACTGAATTCTCTGAGGTAATTGTTTCACTATTTCAAGTACTTTCAGCGATGCACAGGTAGATAAGTGAGCCTGAAACCCATCGTACATTTCAGGAGAGCTTCCAGGTCTTGAAACCTCAAAGGTACCTCTGAAATAAAACAATATATACATAAACATTTCACAAATTGGTACATGGGGGTAAAGAGAGGAAAATAAGAGAGGACATACTGCCAGATGTAAGACTGCTCTGGAATAACTAAAGCCCCCAAAGAACTTCCAACAGTAGAAGATTGATCAACCAAAGCTTGCTGCTTTAAGTTCAGGTCATTCGATTTAGTGTCAGGGCTGTACGGATTTTGTGCCACTAGACAGCCTTGTGGGCTCTCCGGCAAAAGGTCTTCGGAAGCCTGAATCGCCGCTGCACTTTTACAGGAGATGTTCCCATCACTTTCCACAACTTTCTGTTCATACTGTACCTCTTCTGGAGGCAAATCTTCTGAGGAACTTGTTGGCGCAATATCTTGGAAATCAGATCCACAAGTCTTTGAAGCACGTGGAATGGAAAGCACCTCAGGTTTAGTTGACATTTCATTATCGTTATTCACCAAAATTAGTGGACTTTCACATGCACCATCTGTGCTATCATTTTTTATTTTATCCATTGGGATTAGTGGATCTGATGCCTTCACCACACAGGTGTCTTTAGAACAAACAACTCCTGTTGAAGTAATCCCTTGCTCATCACTTTTAGATAAAATGGAGCTATGCTTATTTTCAACAATTCCTAATTTTGATAAGCCATAAAGGAAGTTTGTCAAAATCCGAACTACGGCATTTTTCTTTATAATAATTACTAAAGGAATGATGAACATACCTGGTTTTTTGCTACTTTTAAGTATGCTTGGTCCAGGCCTCGGGCTGTCTTGGTCATTTCTTGGATCCCCTGATTTTATTGAACTATCAGGCCTTGGAGATGAAGAAATGTTTGGTTTTTGAAGATTAAATGAAGCCCCCCTTTCTAACAAAATTGTTGGTTTCACGGGCTTCAATATTCTCGGTTGTTCATTTTGAGATGAATGAACTGATTGCTTTTGCTTTGATGAACTTGAGCCTTTGCAAATTGAAGCCTCATGCTTAAGAGGCCCAGATTTCATAACTTTCCGGATGGACTCTCTAGGATCTCTTGGTGAATGTTTTGAAGGCTTCAACTTGCTCAACACAGGTTCAGCTAATTGCTTGACCTTTGGTTCATTACTGGAGTTGTTGAAAGATGGTTGCTTTGATAAAAGGCCTAGAAGATCAAGCTAAGGGGTTAGCGGAAGTACAAAACAAATTAAATAAAGAAATAATTTCAGGTTATATACCAATAAACTTTGGCCAAACCTCGTGGTGAAGGACCTGGTGTTTTAACATTTGCCAAGTTCCCCAAGGAATATGACCGAGGTAAGGTCACGGAACTATTAACTGCTTGAGACCTCATTGGAGCATTATCAGGCGACTTTATACTTCCTTTGTTAGAGCTTTTAAATGAGTTCTCCCTGGAGAACACATCATGATTCCTAGGGCTGTCCGCCTTCAGGAGCCTGGGAGTAGAGGATAAAGTATTTTCTGCATATCTCTTGCATGATTTAGGTGGACTCCGTACACCATCATTTGATAGAGGTGATTCCATATCAGTGGCAACTCGCAACTTCTTACGTTTTAACAACACTTCTGAACTTTGACTCCTCTTGTCTAAGCTTTGATTCTTCTTATCCAAGCTTCCAGACGTTGGTGTCCTACAAGAGGATTGTCGTGCTTCCAAGCTAGATGTAACAACTTGCAACTTCTTGCGATTTCCCATAATTCCTGAATTTTTGTTCTTCACATCCAGTCTTTCAGCAGTTGGGGTGGCACACTTCACTTGCCGTGCTTCCAGATCAGATGACGCAAGATGCAACTTTTGATTGCTACCAGCCAAGGGATCATTTACTGGAGTGCCACAAGTGATTTGTTGACTGTCCAAATCAGTCACAACAACCTTCAATGTCTTAGAGTTGTTTGTACTTTCTGAATTTTGGTTCTTCCCGTCCAAAACCTTATTCCTTGATGTGCCACCGTTGCTTCTTGTTTGGTTTTCATCTTCTTTAAGACAGCATTCTTCGCATAACCATTCACCATCTGGAACTTTCTCTAACTTCACTCGCATGCAATAACTAGTCAACAATAAACAGAAATTCAAAAGCTAGCATATTGCAGCATATACATTTTCCGCACAAAACACAAAGGAATGAAACCAGCATGCTAGCCCAAATAACTTGCTTTTCCTCTTTATTATATACTCCAGTGAAATTAATATCAAACAAAACCATGGAAAGGACTTGCATTCAGCTTAAAAGCATTAGTTTAACGCATCATGAGAATTGCACCCTAATAGATCATTTGATACAAATACACCTAGATTCGATCATTTATAGGCTACAAGCGTCATTGCCAGACAAGACTTAAAAGAGTGGTGGTGTGAATAATATCCATCCTTGGTAAACTAGTTTAATATGTGCATGATGTTCCAGTGTGAAGAAATAGCTGTTAAATATAATAATACATCATATTTCTTAGAAAGTAATACAAAGAAAATGGTTAGTAACTTACGTATGCTCTGCCCCTTCAAGGCACCTAGTGCATGTAGCCAGAAGATATTCCCTTCCAACATCTCCACATATATCACAAACATTAACCTGGGGTACAACACAAAAGAGACAGGTAAATAATATGAAACAATGGAAACATCACTGTACAGATTGAGGGAAGCATTGTAAATCAAAGAGCCAAATAAATCCTATTATCCAAATATGTTCAGATATGCAGCAAACTTTTAATTAGTCTTGATTTTAATCAGATGATGGTATATGCAGGAAAGCACAAGAACATTTGTATGTAGTGAAGAAACAAAACACCAATTTCCTACCACCATATTTCGATCAATAAAAGAACAGGAATTAGCCTTCATGTACGAACTTTTTCTACCCAGTGGGATGTGCTAGGTGCTAGTAATTAGTTATTTCAGGTATTGCACGGAAGACTATTTTAAGTGAAAGCTTCATCATTAAACTTCACCAGTTCAAGCTATCTTTCACATGAAAAAGTGGCATAACCAGCCAAGAAGCAAATGAAATAAGGAACATCTCATACTCTAAAAGGGCAAATGATATGCACAGTTCCTCTCCATGTTAAGTGTCATGATAAGAAAATGTGTCCAAGACCAACCAAATCCCAGTTACATGTTACACTTTCAATCAATCAACCCCAAGTGTGACCCAAAATTCTTTTTTTGTATGGACAGATATCAAACCTAGTGTAAACTAACGTTGTTTTGCATAGAAACACAGTATAAAAGAACTACATTTTGAAGGAGTATACAGTATACTCACGAATGAACAGAATGGATCAGGAAACTACTTACATCTATTAAGCCCTCTGAATTCCCAGAGTCCGTCATCACATCATTCTGTGTATTCAACTTTCTACCACTACCTGTATCCATTGAACAACCTTGATTACGTTCTTGTTTATCATTGTCATTCCTATTGACAGCATCATTAGATTGGATGTCAGCATGTTCTAGACTTCCATTTCTTGAGCATGAGGTGCCATTTTCCAGATTCTTTGTTAAAGATCCAGCCTTGATTTTATCCCTATTACTGGTACCACAACTAGTCATCATGCTGTGCCTCTCACCACCAAGCACAGAAGGATCTGATTTTCCTCCCAGTGAACGCTCTACGGTCTTGTTTGAAGAAGCTTTCTCACAAGGTTGGTGAGCTAAATTATTTTGTGCATTCCCAAATTCATGTGTTGGTCTCTTAGGAGATAATCCATGTGATGCACTGAGAGAGGATTGGGTACGCAGCAACCTCTTGGTTGCAAAAGGAGACTCGGCAGGCAATGATCTATCAGATGAACTTCGGTGCATGGCATGAACATCAGATCTCTTCTTTCCTGTAGATTCTTCGGCGCAGTAGTTTCTTAGTCTGTTAATGCCATTGTCCTTATAGTTAACAGTAAGGTCACGACTTGATGCTGATGTAGATAGTTTATCCTTTTTCTTGTCTAACAGAAGCTTGCTTGCTGCTGATACTCCAGTAACACATGAGTTGCTATCATCATGGCATTCTACTATAGGTGATCTAGAACCGTGATTTACTAGCCTTCTACGTTTTGCTGGCTTGTCAACCTCGGAATCTGCTGCAACAGATGATCTTGCGATGACTTTATTTTCACCATTTTCAGAATAGGAAGCAGGGCTTGAAGTAGCACTGAATTCATCGTCATTTTCTCCCCCCTTAGCCTTGGTACGGAGCCCTTTATCAACACGAACAAACGAACTGTTTTTTGTTTCTGACCTTGCAAAGCATGTTTGAGATGATCCACAGTCCATATTTGAATCCGTGAGTGCAATATTTCGGTGTAGGCACGAGGAGCAAGGAGCACAACAGACATTACAAGTGCCAGATTCTGTCTTCACATTAGGACTGTCGAGTGGTACTGGTCTTTTTCTTGCTGTAAGCTTGTCCTAGGAAAAAAAAAAGAAACATAAACAATCAAAAAAAAAATCCCTGCCAGAACTGCATAAACATAACAAGCATACAATGAGACCTCAGGTATTTTATGGATTTTCAATGAAAAGATTAAACTATTTATCAGAAACATTGCTAATCCTGGAGAATTAGACTACTCAGAGCTATTAAAGTAAATCGACGAATGACAATCCACAAGCACTTAACGAGAAAATGGACTGTTATAAAGACAACAAGGAAAGATAATTGCCAGTGCTCTCTTACAGCACACAAAACCATGATCAGAGTCATTCATCAAGTAAGTAAAGATGAATAAAGCGTCACATCAATCCACCAAGGAAAGAAAGATCGCCAAAGCATTCAAGTACTGCCAAGCCATTTTCCAAGCGAGAATAAGTCATGCCAAAAGCAGGAGTTGCACTACTGACATATTAATATACCCTTATTGTAGACAGCATTGTGGGATCAGAATCACCTCCAAGCATCTATACCACAACACAACAGCTAAACTGCATGCAGTCCAAGAGCGCATTAGAATAGACGAATAATCTAGATTGAAATCGTATTTTTCTCTCATGTGGGCATGAGATGATGAGGCAAACAGGCGCAAAATTCTGAGCCCAGCAGAATATTGTCAGCATATACAGAGAAAACCACACCCTGGAAATGCTCACCTCCATCTTGGCGACCACTTCCCGATGCCCCGGCCCCTCCACCCGTCGTCCACTGCCACGCCCCTCCACTGATTCCTGAACGGCACAAACAGAAGAAGGCGCGCGTCAATCAGGCAACCCTCGAAAAACTCCAGCCGCAAAATCGCATCGACACCCCCACCAAATCCCTGCGATTGGCTCCTAATTGGATGCGAAAACAAATAGCAGGAGGCATGAAATCAAAGGATTCGATCAATTTCTGATTGACCTATCGCAAAACCGCGTCCAACGCCTCCCTGATGAAAAAAAAAAAAAACTAATCGGCCAAACAAACAATTCGTACGGTACACGCGCAACGAAACCTCGAATCGGCATAGCCTAGCCTACCCCCACCAATCCCAATCCCCAATCCCTAATCCCTAATCCGCGGGTAAGGGAAGACGAAACCCACATCACCAGCAACAACACCAGCGAACCGGAGGAGGTATCATCAATCAACCCATGAACGAATGAATGAATCAACAGTAGAGGGAGGAGGGGTTGGTGCGCGCGTGAGCGTGACGTACCTCGGGGAGCGCGAGATCCTTGTGTCGCGTGCGATCGTAGAGATCCCTGACGGTGCGCTCCTGCGGCGCCCTCATGCCCCCACCCCAGCTCCCCGCCGATCGGGAACCCCTCCCCCTCCCCTCCCTTATTACCTCCCGTCTCCGCGGAGCACGGCGGCGAGCGGCTCCTCCAGCATGGCCGCGACGCGGTATCTATCTAGGGCTCCGGCGGCGGATAGGGACGGGAACGGATGCGCGCGGTGGTGGGTCGGTGATGGCGTGGAGAGGAAGCACTTGCGCCGCGGCTGCGTAGCGGAGAGGAAGAGGAAGACGAGAAGAGCAGAGCCCGAGAGGTAGAGTAGTAGTATGGCTGCTTTGCTTTAGAAATTTTTCGACTCGGGGGGCAGGGCGTGACGGTGACGCCACGGCCCAGCCACAGCACAGCCACCCATAACGGAACGGAACGGAACGGCGCGTGGAGTGATTTTTTCTTTCTCGCTGACAGGGATGGCCCACGGCTGTAATTCCGGTGCACACGTACGTGGTAAATAGTAAATGGAATGCAGGCAGGCAGGCAGGCGGGCGGCTGGTACTACGCGTTAATAATAATACTGATATAGTGTGTGGTTAATGGGGGGGTTTAATCTCTTCCTGATTTGCTTGCCTTGTTTAATTTGGTACCTCATTAAAACTTGGTCGTGGATATGCATCCAATTAATTGGAATTCATTCATATGCATCGCATCGTATTAATCCTGCCTTTTCCTTGCTGCGATTTGCTTCTTCACTGTCCGATCCATCTGATGACGATTTCCATTTTTATACATCTCTTTTTGGAATTTCTTAATTATATATTTTGTTAATACTCCAAGCAATTAGCTAGCTGCATCTATCTATGCCTTTGAACGATCGAGATATGACGCTTACATAATCGGTTGGGTCAAGCCTGCACGTACGTACGGTTCTTTTTTCTTTTTTTTTCTATTTTTGCGTGTCAAGTGTGTGCCACCACACATCGGTATAGTGACTTCTAGTTAGGCCCCGTTCTTTTCTCCAACAAGAGTTTGATGAAGATTAAGATTTGTGTGACACACTTTTCAAACTGTTAAACGGTGCGTTTCGTGCGAAAACTTTTTTATATGAAAGTTGCTCTAAAATATCATATTAATCTATTTTTCAAGTTTATAATAATTATAACTTAACCAATCATACGTTAATACCACTTCGTTTTACGTAAAAAACTTCTTCATTATCTTCATCTTCAGAAGAAAAGGACACCAGCTTAGTATATATATTGATTTTAGTTAATTTGGTTAAATTTCTGGAGGCACTTAGAGAGATTAAGTATTTAATTAGTCCATGTAAACTCTTTTTTTCAACACGATACGTAATAATGGACAGCAATTAAAAGTTGACGAACGAACGATCATCTCTCGATGGATGGCGAAGGAAAATCAAAAGCAAACGTTTGCGTACCAATTAACTTGTCTTGTTGTGCGTGACACGAGACGATTTTTAATTTGTTCTCTTGCTAGCTAGCTCGATCGTAATACTAGTGTTAATCTTTTTCCTGTAGTTCATGCATGCGCGCGCGATGTGATTGATTTATCGTTTATACATGGTCCACATAAATACGTACGTACGTACATACGTAGACATTAATTTGTGGTGAATGTTTAAGGTCAAACAAATGTTGGTGTCATCGAGTACGTACGTACGTACTTGATTAGTTGGACCTAGAAGCTAGCTATATATACGTGTATCGATCCCTCTACACGTCTATGTATACGAAGCCACATACATACGTATACGTACGAAACAAACTGGTGTGACATGCATTCAATTAGTTACTGATGCATGCGTATATGTGCATGGACGGATCGATTGAACGTGATCGTTAAAAATTGCCCTAGTATATATCTCATTCTTACAAATTAGCAATGTGATTAATCTTACAGAAAATAATGTGATTCCATCGTTAAAAAAACATAGTACAGACGCGGGAATAAACGAGAAGTTTTATCTATTCAATACTCTTTACCTACATATTACAATTACTTTTTTTTCTTTCAATATATAGTAATTAAAGGGTATTTTGATTATTTTCTTTCATCTTGGGATGTTATGAATGATCTTTTAGGAGACGGAGTGTACATCGGTCTGAACCGAACAGACCGACGACGTAAGTACGCATATGTAAGAAGGCATATATGCATGCACGCATGAACAAATTAAAGTGTTTCCCAAAATAAAAAAGAAACAAATTAAAGTGTTGGTAGCTTGGTGAAAGTGATTCCATGTCACGTGAAACGGTACACGTGACACGAAACTACTACTCGATCGGTGAACGTGTGTCTATCTATCTATCTAGTGAGACTTTACTGCCACATCTATCTAATTAAGCTAGCTATACCCTGATCGATCGATGTTGCAACAAGGAGAAGGCATCTTTCGTCGCCATCCTATCCTTCCAAAGCACACTCCATCGCATTCATCTTTTTCCTTTTTCTCTTCTTTCTTACTAGTACTAAACAATCACGAATTCATTGTTTATCTCATGCATATCTATGGCGAAAAGTTTGTAGAAATCCGATGCTTTTCTCTCGCGCACGACATACCTCATTTAGCAAATAGTGAAGTGCTTTTCTTTAGACGCGACACTTTCGATTAATAGAGTACTCCTTCCGTCCCATAAAAAAACAACCTAGTACTGGAGGATGTAATACATCCTTTTATTAAGAATCTAGACATACCTCTATCCACATTCATTAATTATGCTATAATATGTCACATCCAGCTATAGATTTATTTTTTTGGGACGAAGAAGTATATTAGTACTACTACTACGGTAATACTACTAATATTCAACATATAATATCTCCGTCTCAAAATACTTTTCGTCTTGAGTTTTTAATTTATAACGTTTAACCATTCATTCATATTAGTCAAAAGATTAAAAAATTATTATTTATTTTATTTATAACTTTTTTATTATTAAAAGTATTTTAGATATAATTTATTTTTTTATATTTGTACTATTTTTTAAATAAAATAAATGGTTAAATGTTACATGGAGAAAGTGAAAACGACGACTGATTTAGGACGAAGTGCATAATATAAACACGTACGTACAGCTCCCGAGCCGTACTCTCTCGATGATAGTGTGGCCCCACAGTGCGCGTGGGCCCACATGTCAGCTGCAGTTGCAAAAGACTGGTCTGAGTGTGATCAGACAGGCTGACTGACTGAGTAGCTTGGTAATCCGCGTAAAATACTGCTAGTAGTAGAAGGGGGGACAGGACAGGGTGGGGGATAGCTCTACGTGTTTGACAAGCTAGGAATTGCGATGGAGATCTCGAGGTGGTATGACACGTGGCCGGTTGTGATGCACTCTCCCACGAGATATTTGATGGGGCGGTGGAGTACTTCGGTTGCCGCTGCTTAAAAGCTGCGTGCACGCGACTGCAATATCATGTACTCCTAGGCTCTGTTCGTTCGGGGAGACAGAGGAGATTGTGTCTCGTTTTTCGCGCGCACGCTTTTCAAACTACTAAACGGTGTATTTTTTGCAAAAACTTTCTATATAAAAGTTGCTTAAAAAAACATATTATTCTATTTTTGAAATTTAAAATAGTTAATACTCAATTAATCATGAATTAATGGCTCACCTCGTTTTGCGTATCTTCCCAATCTCCTCAATCCCCTTCTCCTCAAACACACCACCTCGTTTTGCGTATCTTCCCAATCTCCTCAATCCCCTTCTCCTCAAACGCACCCCTAGTGTTTGTTTGAGGAGAAGGGGAGATACGCAAAACGAGGTGAGCCATTAGCTCATGATTAATTGAGTATTAACTATTTTAAATTTTAAAAATGGATTAATATAATTTTTTAAAGCAACTTTTCTATAAAATTTTTTTACAAAAAACACACCGTTTAGTAGTTTGAAAAACGTGCACGCGAAAAAAGAGAAACAATCTCCCCTACCTCCCCAGAACGAACAGAGCCCTAGTCTCCTACTACTACCAATTGATACTAGTAGTACTACTACTAATCAATACTCTTACTGTATGATTACTACTTCAACACTGGTATTATACTGGTGTTATAATAACATGCTACGTCCAAATGTAAACACTTTTGTGTACTGTATATATGCACACTCACCCATATAAACACATATACATATTTTAAAATTGACAAAATCAAAGCATGTATCTCTACCTATCGACATGCACTGACCTGTCATTAAAAAAATAGTTAGCTATAAATATAAACAACCGTGTGAAGTTTAATAATTGAACCCAGGTTATAGGTTCTACCACAATTAACCTAATCAAATCAAGCTCGCCTTGTAAAAATACTTCCAATGACAAATGCACTTTGTGTGTGTGTGTATATATATATATATATATATATATATATAGTAAATTTGTTTGGTGCTCCATGGTGCCTGGGCACCATTGTTGAAATTGAGTATATACCCAATTCAAATGAGTATGAAACTTTTTCAATTACTTAGGTATTAACATTAACTACTTTACTAACTAGTTTAAAGCAAGTTCGAACTGAATTTGAACTTGTTTTTGTTAGATTTTGATTCTAGGTATATAGCATCCATACATATAATTAGTTAGGTATGTAATCATGGATTGTGAAATAAAGTTAGATTTGAGTTGTTTTGTTGATAAGTATAGGTATGAATCAAATTATTATAACTAGGTATATACTCACAATTTAAAAATTTTGAAAAATTTGAGTGATTTTGTGCATTAGATACCATGTGCCCGGGCACCATGGTGCCCCATATATATATATATATATATATATATATATATATATATATATATATATATATATATAGACACACACACTCAACTTGGTATGTAGGCGGCAGCCGTGGCGGAGAGGTAGGCAGCGGCCATCTCGTCTTACCCTTCGATCTCCCTCCCCTCCCACCCCCGAGGACAATGGCGGCCCGGCTGCTTCCCATGTCGCCGCCGCCGCTGTGTCGTTGTCACCCAGTGGGCTGGACCCTCAGGCACGTGTGGGGGGGGGGTGGGGCGGTGGCACGCCCAAGGCCGCCATCGTGGTCGCCTACCACAAGTAATAATTGAACCTAAATATATAGGTTCTACCACAAGTAATCTAATCAATGAAGCTACTATTAATTCGTCCCGTACAAAGGCTGTGTTTAGTTGGATCTAAAGTTTGGATTTTGGTTGAAATTGGAGATAATGTAACTGAAAAATTGTATGTGTATGACAGGTTGATGTGATGGAAAAGGACTGAAGTTTGGATCCAAACTTTGGATCTAAACGCAACCAAAATACTTCCGGTGACAAATGCACTTGGTGTATAACTAAC